AGTGATCACTCCTGAGCCCTTCTTCATGTCTTGCTGTTCTGAGTCTTGAGATTTGTATTTCATTTATGCAGCTTTGGTGAAGGAGAGATGTATGTAGAATAAACAAATCCAGCAATCGGGTAGGTTATTTGGTGGTAATTTTTTCATTTTTTTTGTTTATGTGACCAAAAATCTAAAATGCCGGTTCTATGTCCACCCGCTCCCTCCTTTACCTGTTGCCTTTGGGCCTTTCTTGTCTGAATAAAAAAAACTGAGAGCAAGTTTTTTGATGCATGGTCAAGTAAGAAAAAAAAAATTGTATTAAATTATTAGTGGGAGAATAATATCAGAATTATTCTCAGGATATTCTATAGTAAAAGTTTTTTATTGATTTCTGCCCCCAATTTCTCATCTTCTCCTGAAAGGGGTGTGGATCCCTGTTTACTGGGAGTTCTCTAGTATCTTGTTAGAATTGGCAATCTACATTCTAACTTGAAGGTCAGCTTTGCTGGCTATTCAATCACAGAATATTTCAATGGAGCCTCTGCACAGCCAATATCTCCACATTACAGAAGGGAATTATTTTTTGAGTATCGAGCCATCCCTCCTCGCCCTCTTACAATAAGAACTTGAAATAATGTCCTTCATATAGGGTAACTAATCTCACTGTCTTTCCAACTATGATCAGCTACCTCAATACAAATGAGGAATTGATATACGTTCTGCTTGATATGCGTGGTTTAGAACCACACCACAAAATATTAATCACTCATCTATCGGAAGAACTTTGAAAATGCTTAACAATAAAAATCCTTGTGTTTTGCTATAGTGCGTATAACATCAAAATGTCTCAAAGTGCTTCACAAATAATTGCTGTGAAGTGATTGTGTATTTATAGGCGAACATAGCAGGCAATTTAGACACAGTAGCGACCCACAAAAAAACATGAAATGGATGACCAATTTATCTGTTTCTTATTGAGTGAGGGGAAGGATGGTTTGGGGATTGTTCCGAAAAAAATATTTGCAAGAGCTGCGAGTCAACCTCAGTTTTTTGATTTTCAAAATGATGATCTTAAAAAAACTGGGTTAACAGAGGTATTTACCACTGGTGCTTCTTTTATTTGAAGATATCAGAACTGACTATTTATACATATGTATAGGAGAAGGGAGGAGGAGCTGATTAGTTTCCTCTCCCTGATTCTCCAGTCCTGGTGACAATAATAATAATAATACTTGGGTTTGATATAGCACCATATTCACGTCTTTTGAGACGTCTCAAAGCGCTTCACAGAGTATACTGTAAAGTGAATTGACTGTATCTTTTGTGTGCAAAACGAGTATTTATCTTTTGTATCAATGTAGTACCATTCGCCAAAGAGTTTTTTTTTAAGAAAGAAAACAGTGCTACTTGTTCCCTGCCACTGTCAGTGCAGACTTAGTCACCTTGAGTGACAGTTGATAATGTTTGCATGCTTAACATCTCATGGCAGATTCTATTACATTCATGTGATGAGTTTCACATGCAGTATTGTACTTTTAAAGGCAGGTGGGTGGGGAGCCCCAGATAGAGTAGAAAACTAGAATAGTAAGTGTTCATTTTAATGTGTTGGGATGAATAATAAAGGCTGGAAAGCTTTTCCAAAAGGGGAAGAGTAAAAATATATCTACCTTCCAATAATAAGAATGACTACTTACACAGAGTATATAATCCAAAATTTTGAGAATCTCAAAGCATTAAATTACAAGTCCTGTAGCTCAGTGGTTAGAGCACTCGCCTTGCAAGCGAGACCTGGGTTAGATTCCCAGCAGGGCAAAATCTTGGGCAAGTTTCCTTACTCCACACGCCTGATAATAATCCCTCAAGAAAAAAAAACAATAATAAATTGGTTACTTCAATCCATGACTGTTTGTGGTACACTGCTGTGCACAATTGGCTGCCGCATTTCGCCCACAAATATATAGCCAATTCACTTTACAGTATATTCTGTCCAAGCGCTTTGAGAAGTCTAGAAGACATGAACAAGCGCAATATCAAATGCAAGGATTATTATATTATTATTACAAGCGAGAGATGGATAAAGAAGGCATCTCAGTACATTTGATTGAATGTCAATCCAGATTGTCAAACCTATCTTCTTCCCTTAACAGTATCAAGCTCTTTCTTAAATGTACAACTGTTGATTACCCTTAAGAGACAATATTAATTTTACCCTTTGCATTTTAAGTTCAGTGTTTAATTGATTGTAGGTAATTTAAAGAATGTAACTTTTGCTGAATTGAATTATCCAAATCAATTTAGCCGTTTCAGTTTTTCCTATTAAGTGGAAACCAGGTTGTCATTTAGTGGTGGTTAAAATGTGTTTACATTTCAATAATTATAAATTATTGCAGGTTTGTGTACAAATTAACTTTCACATTGGAACCAATTAAATTAAAAGCACTGAGCGTCATCCATTTTCTCACACTTTAGATGTCACATTGAGTTTGTGTGATTCAATAAGCAATATTTATGGCTATTTTTCAGAATTTACATTTTGGTGGATTTTCACTAGTTTCTTATTCTATGTGGTGCTCCTGATATTTCCGATGTAATTGTAAGATTAAGGCACTGAAGTTTAAAGCACTCAGAATCAATTTGCACATGTGGACTCAATCCAACTCGACAAATGTTCCCCTAGGAGACATGGGGAAAATGGGAATACAATCTATTCAATATAGTGCAGGTTTGGATATATCATCGTGCATATTGACTACCTGCTTCACCATGAGGAGGTGCTGAGCACTGGCCTGTTTCCTGCGCGCAAGACACAAGCGGAGCCGGGCTCAGTGATATCAGTGGCTAGGCTTGAAATGAGGGGGTAATGCACGTCAACAAGACCGAGGCTCTCCTGATTAGCTCCCGTTAGCGCCTCCTCACCTCAGGCGCTGACAGCATCACCATCCATGGTTGCACACTCTACCTTGCTAAGCCAGTCCAGAACCTTGCCATCTTGTTTGACTCTCAACTATCCTTTCTACCCCACATCTGTGCCATGACCCGCTCTGCTTTCCCTCACCTCCGCAACGTCGCCCGGCTCCGCCACTGTCTCACACCGCAGTTTGTCGAGACCCTCATGCATGCTTTCATTACATCGAGGCTTGGCTATCCAAACTCCTTGCTTGTCAGCCTCCCCAACTCCTACCTCCATAGGCTGCAGATCATCCAGAACTTTGCAGCCCGTGTCCTCTTCCACACCAAGCTCCGTGATCCTATCATTCCCATCCTCGCCTGACTCCACTGGCTTCGCATCTCCCAGAGGATACAGTTCAAATCCTGGTCCTCACCTTCAAAGCCCTCCATGATCTTGCTCCCCCTACCTCTGTGACCTCCTAACCACCTACCATCCTGTTCGTTCCCTCCACTCAGCAGGCTCAGCCGGCTTCAAAGTCCCCCACCTCGCTCGCCCCACTATTGTCAGGCAGACCTTCTACCACTCTGTCCCCACCCTCTGCAACACCATCCCACAGTCCCTCCGCTTCGCCCCCTCCCTTGCCTCCTTCAAGACCCGTCTCTTCGACCGTGCTTTCGATCACCCTGCTTCCCTCCCTACCCTCTACCCTCTCCGGTCCCGACCTCCAGTTTGGGTCCGAAACTCTGTCTGTCCAGCGCCTTGGGACATCCTCCCGACGTGAAAGGCGCTATACAAATGTAATTTTGTTGTTGTATAAAGTGCTCTAGGTTATAAAGCAGTCTCATTTTATGCACTCTGGTTTGTAGCATGTTGGCTGACCACCCCCATCCTCGCCCGGATTCACTGGCTCCCTGTCCCCCAGAGCATTTAAAATCCTTGTCTGCATCTTCACAGCCTTCCATGGTCTTATTCCACACTGCCTTTATGACCTCCTGAAACCCTACCAACCTGACCGCTCCCTCCACTTGGTCTGCTCCATGTCCACCGCCCGGCCCACTCCACCATCAGAGTTTAGGCCTTTCGCCTTTCTGCACCCACCGCTCTGAAACTCTATCCCGGAGCCCCTCCACCTTGCCCCCTCGCTTGCATCCTTCAAAGCCTGTCTCAAGACCTTCCTCTTCGACCACGCCTTTGGTCATCTTCTCACCTTCAACCCTCTTGGGCCTGCCTGCAGCTTAATTCAAACCCTTGACTATCCAGTGCCTTGGCACATCCTCCCAATGTGAAAGATGCCATATAAATGCAATTCCATAGAATTATACAGGACAGAAGGAGGCCATTCGGCCCATCGTATCTCTGCCGTGACGGCTCTTTGAAAAGAGCTATCCAAATCAATCTCACTCCCTGCTTTCTCCCCATAGCCCTGCAAACTTGTCCTTCCCATTTGTGTTTTTGTTGATGGTATACTGGGCTAATAACACCAGAGTACTGTGATGTTCTTAGCTAATGGCCATATTTCTAGCTTTATTTTTGTCCATGTGCATTTCTCTGGGTGTTTTTGTTTGTTTTTCATACCAAATATTTTTCTTGTCCCCATGTATCCCCTTTCTCTTGTGACTCAGAGTGGCCTATGCGCGTTTATCTGCTGGCATTTGTTTAAAGATCAGGTTTGAATAATTCAGATTTCAGTGGTTGAGAATTCTGATTGCTGCTCTCCTTGAAGCTATTAGCTTCTGAGAGTTAATTTCTACTGAAGAATAAATAAAACGATGCATGCAGGAAACCATGAGAGTTTATCTCCTGAATGAGAAAGTCTGTGTTACCCTTGAGTGTTAAAGCTCATGAGTTATAAAAGCCTTATTCACGAATGGGATGAATTCAGCGTCCCACCATTTGTCACTACATATGTTTTAATTACTCCTTTGTTTGAAATTAAGACTATACCAATGGTGTAATTTATCTTACATATATAATCATCTACTAGATTACATCAACCTATTTTAAATTAAGATGCTTGCGAATTTGTACATCACTGTTTTCCCAGTTACTGGTTGAAGTTAGTTATGTTAGATTTCTGCCAATGGCACAATTTGAAATTCTGAACTGGAGGATATTCTGTTTGTTTCAGAGTCTCTCGGAGGCAAAAATGGAACTAAGGAGAAAAGATCAATCTTTGCGTCAGCTAAACAAACACCTAACCCAGCTGGAGAAGGACAAGCGTCAACTTGAGAGGAGCATCCAGGATGCAGAAAATGCCCTCTGCATGGCAGCAAAGTGAGCATAGGACTTTTGGGACCATACTTAAAACAGCTTAGGATCAATGCATGCTCTCAGAGTAGAGATTTTTAGTAGAAAATAATTGGGGCCAGAGTTCAAAAGCAAATGGCAGAGACTACCTTTGAGAGTTACAGGGTCAATATTTTTTTGTTCTGAAGGTTTCCAGAAATGCTTGTTTTTTTAAATATATATGTTGAAGCAAAGGTCTGTATTTTGCACTTTATCTATCTACATGTGAACATCTGTAAAAATGCTCTTTTATGAGATAAAAGCAACACATTTTGCACTGAATAGTTTTCTAGATCTTAAAAAGTTTTTTATATGAAAGAAAGTCTCTCGATTTCTTATCCTCTATTGAACATCTTCCTTCCTGTGTTTTTCCCATCCCATTTTCTAATTTTTAATCTAACAATATTGTTTCAATTTTCAGCTTGAGAGATGGCTCCACATTTGCCAGCTGTACTGGCCTTAGTGGCCACTTGAGGATTCTTTCTTAAAGTATGTTTTACATACTATTTCGGCAGACTCATTGACTGTAGGAGCACCATAACCAAGTCTCCCTCGATGTCACATTTTACAGTGGTTCAATGTGTAATGATCGGATTGGAAACCCTGACTGGATTTCCAATTTGCTACCCTGACAGTCTTTCAGCATAATTCAATCTAAGTTTGGCTGATAATATGTGTAGAGTGACTAAAAGGTGGTGATAACAAAATGGTGACTCGTGAAGAATTGATTGGCTTTGGACTAAACCATTGTGCTGAAGTTGGGGATGTGGGATATTAATTTCCAATTTTGTCTAATGAAAGTCAGGTTTGGATTACACTTTTTAATTATTGCATCATATACTACATTTTTCACCTCTAAAACTCCTAATAAATTATCCATACATTTGATGCAGCATTTTATCATGTTGAAATGTCTCAAAGCACTCCACAGAATTGTCTGTGAAGTGTAGAGACTGTGTACAGTACAGCCCAGTTATAATGCAGTGTTTGGGATCCATAAAATCGTAATCTGCGTCTTGTGGAGTACGATATAACTGCACTTGGGCACAAGCAGGAAGCAGGTCAGCTGATCCTGCACTAAAATAAAATTGATGACTTTTAGGTATCAGTCACCACTGTGTCATTCCTGTTTAAGCAGGAAGAGACGACGACAGCCAAATGAAGTGTTGTTTTAAGGTAGGGATTGCTTTCTTCAAGCAAAATGAATGCTTTGCTCTAATGAAATAACAGTTACGATTTATTTGTTTTTATTTCCGCATTATAGCAACTTTCATAGCAAATGTTTTTTCCTAACAGAAACCGAGAACACTTGATTAGTTACGTGAGATCCGTGGATACTATCCTTGTGGAGGTAAATTACTTATGTTTTAAACTTATTAATAATTTTTCAGTTATTTTGTATACATCTTTGCTTTTATCAAATATAAATATTAGGGATAAAGTTCCGATTTTACAGAAGCGTTCAACATTAATTTTTACACAGTCATTTTGATTTGGGGCCCTGAGTTCAAATCCAGCACTTCAAATCCACACTGAACCAACCATGAAACTCAAGTTAAATTCCGAAAAATACCTGTGTTGGACCAGGGCGACATTTCGGCTTCTCACATCATCTATCCTTATGGTTGTTCTGAGGCCAATTAGCACCAAATTAAGGTCTCTTCTCTCTCTTGGCTGTTAAATATCCTGAGGGAAATGATCTTGGGCAGTCTCAGCTCAATTGCTTCTAGATGTGAATCTGCAGCATGAAACTTCCCATAATTTGGTACTAATTGGCCTCAGAACGACTATAAGAATAAATGGTGTGGGAAATAGAAATGTCTGGTGCAAGTAAGAGGTGCTCTTCTAAATTTGGGTTAAGCCTTTTGTTGGAGCAGAATAGGTCTGTGCTGTAGATGAACTGTGCTGTTGATGCTCTTACTGGGTACAAAGTGGAAAAATGTTCCCTTCTGCAGCGCCTTAATGGTGCACAATTCACAAAGAAAGATAAAGCAGTTGGATTCTTTGAGTTTATTTCTTTTATGTTTTGACTTTGCAGCAGTCATCATCCGATTCTCCTTGACTATCAAAGGTAGTCTGCATGCAGCGTCTTTCAGATTGTAGAAACTGCTGAGGAAGACTAGCAGTACATGGCACATTTCCAGTCATGATAGGGAAGAATGTGTGGGAAGCAATGTTTGAAGTTTTAAACCACAAAATAAAATCAATTGAGGGTTGTAGATAAGAGACCCAACCCTTTATTTGTTTTTCATTTATATTCTGTTCTGGCCATATAAGTTGCACTGGAAAAATTACACTTGAACTATTTTATTCCCTTATCCCACGTTAAGAGTTGAAAAACATTGAAGATGGCTACTACTCTCTTGTGATAATTTCCCTGCAGGAAAACACAAATGAATGGCTTGTTGTGATGCACTTTCTATAAAATATGATTCCTTTTTTCCCCAAAGAGCTTTTCTTCCTACTCCCGTCTTCGCAGAAATGCTCACCATAGAACAGATGAGTAGATGAAAGCACATTACAATTACATAATATAGATACTGGAGTTTAATTTGTGGTCTAGTCGTCCCAGTTGTCAGGACTAACATCCTGAAAGTTGCACGTCCGTCTTCCAGATCATGGCTTTTGACTGCCAGTTAGCAGAAAACCAGCACAAGTAAAAGCTCAAGAATAACACTGATATTGCTACAGCAGTGAACTGCCATGATCTTACGACACTTGCACTAATCGCCTTCAGGTTGTTGGCATTGAGAACGATAGAGGGGTACAACCAGGCAATTCATATTTGAAAATGTGTCTCTTAATTTAGAGTGGTAAATTAAACCCCAATGTGTCACAAGTCGATTTTATGATGATCAGTGTGAGATTATAAAACCAATTAAATATGTAAACTTGGGGTTGTTATTCAGAGCAAGACATGTAGAAACTTCTTTTAAAATAAATTAAATTTTATTTGCTTCAGATATACAATTGCTTGATCACAGTTCAGTTGCATTTGTTTTGAATTGCATACACTAATATTTAGAGTGAATCCCCTAATTTGAAAATATATTACCTCAGATGTATTTTATTTTAACATTGCATTATCTGCACTAGCAACAGAGAGCAGGGTAGTTAACTCCGGATAAATGTTGTGCACTATTCACTTCCTACCAGAGAGAGAGGAGTGAGAGGATTATTTCAGATTTTAAATATTCCTCACAATTTCTCTCCCGTCCCCACTTACCTTTGCATCTTTACAGATTGCTATAAGTAATACAAACTGCGTGACCTTTCCGTATAGTGCTAGATAGATCTCTTTAAGCTAGTAAAGAACTTAATCCTCCTCTTCATGTGAAGCAAACTAGCTGTTTTTTGCTTTGATGTCACATTCATGTAGTCACCAGAGGCACGATAGTGAGAATAGTGGGTTGAAGAAGCCTTTGGCTCCTCTAGCAGGCCTCTGACTCCAAGGCTCATTTATCAGGGGTCTCCTTCAAGTGGTGATAAGCTTTTTGGCCCAGAGTAATAAATATCTGAATCAAAGAAGAACTCACTGTGACAGAAGAATGCAGAAAATGCAGAAATCAAAGTCTTGCTCCTTTCGGCAACATTCATTTCATTCCAACTTTCTATATCAGAGGTGGCCTTTTGTTCTAAGATTTCATAACACTCAAGCAATTTGGCATGTTTTTACAGAATCAAAGCCATAAGCAAGGTTTTATGGGGGAAATAGAACCAGCTAGCTCTTCCTCATATATTCAACTGCCACATGAAATGGAACAAGCTAATACCCAACAGGGAATCATCACTTATTGTCCCTTTCAGATTTAATATTCCAACACAACTTGTGGTTTTCCCACACTCCTCTAGCCTGTGACATCTTGCCTGGTTCAGTTTAATTTGTTTAATAAATACATTTTGCACGCTTTAATCTTGCCCTTTTCTTTATATAGATTTTTAGATATTTTAATATTTACTGTATTTTTTAAGTTAACAGCTTCAGTATCAATGGCATTAACTTCCAGTTGCTGAGCACAATTTCTTGTTTAATGTTCAATAGTGATCATTCAAACCTCTTATCCCGTTGGCTCGAACCTTACTCTCCTTAGCCAGATATAGTATTTGGTTTCAAGCTCTCTACGTATTGCAGATTCTTGCATTGTTATATCACTTCTGCGTTTTTGTAGAGCTAAAGGAATTCCAACATTACTCCCACTAGTTGTGTGATTTGTTGTTGGAAGCTGGATTTATATTTATTCCTCTGAATGGTTCTGCTCTGCCAAACATTTCTTTGTTTTCCAATGTTATTACTGTATTAATAATATTGAAAAACAAAAGAACCAGGTGTATGATTAGCTTTTTATTAAAATTTAAAGCTTAAGGGACATTTTGACTTTTATTTTTAAATATGTGTTGAAATCAGCTGCAGTCCTAAAGTATAAATTACTTTGCAGTGTCCTGATTGGTGTACATCTTCAAAAAAAGTCAACAGCATTGATTATACCTGCAAAAAAAGAAATACCACAAATGCTAATTTGCTGGGGATATTAGGTAGCAGTTTCCAACTGGTCCAAACACTTATTTGCACACAGAGCTAACCCAGTCCAAGTAATTTATCCCTCCAGATAGTTAGATGATTTATTGTTTTTGAATCAAGGTAGGTAGGTCAGAACGTCAGAACAATAAAGTATCGACTTCTGTGATGTTTTTCTTAACTAAACAGCCCAGACAATGTTTCCCTCCCCTGAAAAATTATAGAGCAATGAAAAAACTTCCAAGAAATGATTGACTGTCTTTTGTATTTAAAATGAAACTTTAGTTACATAACACTGTTTCAAGACCAGGAGAGGAGTACCATTGCATTAATGGTCGTTTAATTGCAGTTATTTAATTGTCTCGAGTATAAATATAAAACTATATGTATGACCATTTCTCCTTCCAGATACAATTTTGATTTAAGAGACAATTTTGTCTGCAAGGAACAGTGGATTTGTGCTTAAGATTAAGACAGGGCCAGCAAACGGGAAGATTTGGCCCAGTTCCTCTAGCTTTCTTCTGACAGTTGTCAAGATGTACAGGTGCTGGATACTTGAACTAGTTTGTCATCCAGCAGCTGTGCTGTCCAGCATGTCATCAATTGCATCACTTCATGTCATTCTGACCCAGCCAAGCTATAAATGGTTCTGCAGTTACAGAGAGAATTTGAAAACCTTGACGTATCAAAGCTGTGCCTTTACAAAACAGCTGGATAGTGAACTTAAAACACTAATTTCTGGAAAAACTAAATCCACTTGGAACATTTAAAGAATTTCTTAATATCGAAGGTAGTGGTATCAATCAGATCACAGGTAAACATGCAGTTGGCTGCCAACAGTTGTATTCTAATAATGGAAAAATCCCCGCTAAGGAAGGTAAAACAAATAAGCATGTTTCTTCTGCTCAAGCTTGTAAAGTTTAAAAAATGGATTAACCTTAAGCATTATGTATGCTATTCTGAATACTTACATACCCAAACTCTTAGTAGTACCAGACAGGAATTTCCATGTGTTTGAGCATGCACGGAACACTGTCTGGTTTGGATGCTCTTAAGCATGCCGATGGATTTTCACATGTGTCAGACACCCGGCTGACCAAAAAAAAACTTTTAGTGGCAATAGGTTATCGCCACTGATGTTGGAACAGTGGAGACGAGGGACATGTAGAAGGTCGTAGACAGCTGAGTGAAGGGTGGGTAGTGGAGTCAGGTGTAAGCAGGTTGGAGAGCTAGGGAGATGCTAGGCCATGAATTGATTTGTAAGTAAGTGTGAGAGTCTTGAAATCTATCTGTTCTGCAATATGGAGTCATTGAAGCTTGTCAAGGACTGGGGTGATGAGGTTGTAGAGTTGGTTTGGGTGAGAAAATGGGCAGCAGAGTTTTTAGATCAAAACATACATCTTTTGAAGGAAAGTGCTACCAAGCTTCTCCCAGATCTCTCCTGAAAATAAATCGACAATGGGCTCAAAGAAGCTGGAGTCTAAACCTGGATTCCCAAAAGATTTGTAAATACAGTATTTAATCTTGTTTTTAACAGATGTACATTAGGCTGACTCATGGGAACTGCACTCTTACATGATCTACATCCTATGTTTTGGAACCGAGTTCCCATAGGCCAGTGAGATCCGTGCACACTGTTTTCTGCCAAGATTTAATAGTTATAAATCGTACTCCCAATTCAGGTTGTGAATGCCACAACCTTGGCCATTTATCTGAACATCCAAGGGGCTAATTTGTGATATTTGCTAAAGGATTCTTGAGAAGCAGATGTGTCACACTGATCTCCTGTAGAGTTTCAGGCCCTTCGTTTGAATGAAACGTGGCAGTTAATTTGG